AGCCCTCCTCGCAGGCTCACCTTTCGAAGACCATGCGGATCATGAAGATGCCGAAGGCCAAGGGGAAGGCGAGGTAGAGGTCCTCCACCTGAGGAAAAGTGGCTTCCTCCGTGTTCTTCAGATCCGCCCAGGTGACATTAGGGGGCAACCAGAACCTCTCGTTCCAGAACCAGGCGAGGATCCCTGCCATCTTGCCTTTGTCTGCCTCGGACTCCCCAACACTACTACTGCCACGGCCACCACAGCCTTCGTCTTTTTTGGGGGGAGGGGGGGAAGAAAGAGAGCGAGCCCCTCCCTTGCTCACTCACACACACACACACACACACACACACTCCCTCGGACCTCCCTTCTTCCTTGCCCGCGGCGGAGAAAGATGCTCAACCGTAAGGTGGGATGGAAGAGGGTGCGCGTGCCGCGCATGCGCGCTCCGGACCTCCGTGGGGGCTGCCGCTCGCCGAATGTGCCTCAGCTCCTCGCGCTACGGACGACAAGGCAAGCCAGCGGGAAGACTTGAGGCCGCCCTGAAGCCCCGCCCTGAAAGGACCCGCCCGCTTGCTTGCTTTGAGCCTGGGCGGGAAAAGGCCGCCCCGTCTGTCACGCGGACGCGCCTCCCGATTGGCTGTGAGGGCTGTCAGCTGAGTGGAAGGCACGTCACTCCTAACGTTCCAGCCTCGGCTTCTGGAGGCAGATTCCCCTCACAGACACGCTCTCACACCCACTCTCAGACGCCGGTTGCGAAAGCCGGGCGGTTTCGGTCTTCTGTGCTTTGCTTTCTTGGCTGCTCAGAATGTGCCTCCTTAATTATTTCAATTAGTCATACTCCCGTACAGTATTGCACATACACACGCGCGCACACGCTGTTCCTAGGTTCAGGGCCTTCTGACGTGCCCGCAAACGTACTGTACCTGTAGAGAAATGGGGACTTTTTATGATATTTCGACTGGAATGTGTGTCCCTAGCAGTGATCAGGGTTCCCCAGTGTAGTGCCGTGGATAGAACAACCTAGATAGAGCGACAGGCTAGGATTTATGGGGCCTGGGTTCAAATTAGCACTCAGCTGTGGAAGCTCACTGGGGGTGAGGAACTGGCAAAAGTACTTAAATATTTAGGTATCTGGCTATGGGCCCAGACGTCAGATGTTCAGTTCCCCATTGCATCCCAGAAAACCCAGCCTGTGTAACCTTTGGCAAGCTATGCAATCCTGGGGTGCTCACCAAAGAAGGGAATGGTATCAATATCCACGGTTTCAATTATCCACTGAAAACTATTAAAAGAAAAAAAAACACTATTTTCACAAGTATTACCAGAACAGCCCGCTGGATGGAGCCAAAGACTGTGCTATGAATAATTGTTTAATATCTGACTCTTCGTGACCCCATGGACCAGAGCACGCCAGGCCTTCCTGTCTTCCGCAGTTTGGTCAAATTCATGTTGGTATCTTCGGTGACACTGTCCAACCATCTCATCCTCATCCCCTTCTCCTCTTGCCGTCACACTTTCCTAACATCAAGGTTTTTTCCAAGGAGTCTTTTCTTCTCATGAGATGGCCGAAGTAGTGGAGCCTCAGCTTCAAGATCTGTCCTTCCAGTGAGCACTCAGGGTTGAGTATAATTGTTAGTTAGGACTAAATAGCAGGGTATCTGGCTCTATCTAGTGGCCAGTTCTGGAAATGAATGTGAAAATATTTTTAATGATTTTTCCATACACTGTATCTATATATCCATAGATATAGATATAGCATTCACTATTATCCACAGTTTTCAGTATCCACAGAGGGCTTGGAATCAATCCCCAGCTGATATGGGGGTCCAACTGTATTTTCTACTTAGAGAACCCTGAAAAGGGTTGCCAAGTGAGAATTAACTAGATTGCATGCACTTATTATTATGAGGAGTGATTACACCAGTTTTGTGCTGCCTTTAGAGTAGGTAAAGAAAACATTCCAGTTTGGTCATGGTTCTTTTTTTTCAAAAAATATTTTTCGTAAAGTTTACCAACATCTTAATTTTTAGTTGTTGTTCTTTATGTATGAAGTAAAAGGTGTGGGATCTAGCCACTTAAGAGCATTAGTAAAGGTAAAGGTTCCCCTTGACAATTTGTCCAGTCGTGTCTGACTCTAGGGGACGGTGCTCATCCCCGTTTCCAACCCATAGAGCTAACATTTGTCCAAAGACAATCTTCCAGGGTCACATGGCCAGCGCGACTAGACATGGAATACCGTTACCTTCCCACCGTGGTGGTCCCTATTTATCTACTCGCATTTTGCATTTTGCATGCTTTCGAACTGCTAAGTTGGCAGGAGCTGGGACAAGTGAAGGGGGCTCACTCCATCGCGTGAATTCGATCTTACAACTGCAGGTCTTCTGACCTTGCAGCACACAGAGGGTACTGCGGTTTAACCCGCAGTGTCACCAGGTCCCCTTAAGAGCATTGGGAAATATTAAAAAGAACTACAGGCTCTGCCCTCATGTATATCCATTTCTCTTTTAAAAGCAACTCAAAATTTAAAATAGGCGAAAGTAAAGGAGAGAAAGAAAAGGGCAGGAAGGATTTCCCCTCCTTAAGACACACTCCCGCTTGTCTGAAGAACTGGATTTTGATGCACAAAAACTTGCACAAAAATTAATCTATTACTCTGTAAAGTGCTACAATAGTTTGTCCCCCCCTTTTTTCTTTTTTGTTTTCACTTTTACTTACGTGTTGAGACAGACTCAATTCTGTGGAAACTGCCCTGAAAGCAATGGGAGAGGAGGAAAAAATAAACATACCCCTGGAAAATTCTTTTATCTAAAGCTGTGTATCAGGACACTGTTGGGGTGTGTGTGCTTCTGAATAAGAATTTGGAAATGCTGAGAGCACAGAATCCACCAGTCCAACACAGTAACACTGTCCAGGTTTGCTGCAGAACATTATCCCACTATCTGAAATTTATTGAAATACTTAAAATGATGGCAGGCTTCAAGTCTCATCTGGAACATCTCTGAAAATCTGTTTCAGGCACATGAGGAACCAAAACCAGCAACTTGAAACAGGCCTAACCTCAGGACCTAGGCCAGCAAGGACATGCGAAATAAAAATGAATACTTACTCCTTCTTTTTAAATGTTATAATTAGGGCATGATTGGCAAGTATGTACTTTGATTACAGATGCTCATTTTATTATTGTTACTTTTAGCTTGCTTGTTTCGCTTGAGCATCTTTTCCCTGGTTTTTTCCCCAGCAAAAGGGTGTTCCCAGAACACTTTACAGAGATTAATAGGACAGTCCCTGCCCTCAGCTTTATTTATTAGTTATTATTAGTTACATTGTTATCCTGCTTGTCCTACTCTGATCTCAGGGTGATGCACATGGCGTCCCCCACCCCTTTTCTTTTTAAATCTTACAATGTAAAGACATGCTTTTCCTTCTCCAGCCAATTTGTTGTGATGTACTTTCTGTCAGGCAGGGATTCAGCCATCTGGTGGCCCCTATGGGAAGAGCAGTTATATTAGTTGTGTGTACATCACTGTTGAAATAATATATGTGGGTTGATAAAGGGGGCTCCCATAAAATCAATTGATTCAGGATTAAAAATAACATTACAGCTTGTAGCTATTCCTAGTGCCCTGTTGTAGTAGGGGAAAGAGGGTGCTGGGTCATACAGAGCTTTGTTTAATTCAGAGATGAAAATTGTGTAGCCCTCTAGATAGTTTTAGAAGAGGCAGCCCTGTTACTCTGTGCAAGCATATCATACAAAACCCAAAACAGAAAAATATACAGTACTACTAATAAAAAAAGAAAAAGAAAAAACTCATAGCACCTTAAAGACTGTTATATTTTAAGATAAGCTTTCGTACACAAGTCCACTTCTTCAGACACCTCATATTTCTGAAGAAATGGACATCTACAAAAGCTCACCTTAAAATCTAACAGTTAGTCTTTGAAGGTGCCACAGGGTTTCGTCTTTTTAAAAATGTTTTATTTTTATTTTCCCTTTAGATAATTTTAGAGTGCAATTCCATTCATCTACCACCACTGGGCTTTGCACGTAAGTGCTGATGGTGGCTAGAGTCCAAAAAAACCGACAGAGGGCCCCATATCCCCCACCTTTGGCTTATATCCAGGGAGATCTGTGGCTGCTGTGTGAAATGTGTATTTTTAGACTTCCTATAGTAATGGCCAAAACAGGAATGGTGGGATCTTTATCAGACGTGTGGTGCACAGACCAGAATATTGCACTGTTAGCAGTTGCTGTCTGTAAAGTGGTGAATAAAGAACCACAGGAATAAACAGGTTTTCTTTCATAATCTTCACTTATTATCTCTCTTCCGCTTTTGCTGCCACCAGACTCTTGTTGCCCCTCTATGTGTGCATTTTCACCTTCACTTGGGTCCTTATTAACACCTTCCACATAGCCAACCATAAGGCTACGTCATTCCTAGGCTTTGAATTCATTCAGCACAATTCCATTGAATATCTGGAATTTGGTTTATTCCCTATTGGTCAGAAGAGTATAATAACTACACAACAGGTACAATTTGAGAAAAGAATCGTTACAAGTCTCCCAGAATCCACCGATTCACTAACTAGCACTTCAAACTGAACAAAAATTCTAGAAGCATCTTAAATAGAAAAAGACATATTTACTTACCTTTTATGATGTTCAGTTACAAACAGAAGAACAAAAGATAAAAAGGAGGATTGGATCTCTCAACCATCTCGAAAGATCCATGTGACCACATGGTCCAAAAGAAGGAAGCAGAAGGAGGTCAAACAAGAGAACCAGGGAAAATCAGAGAGAGAATGTGGGGCTTGCCTCAAGCCTGGAGAGAGAAAAAAGACTTTGCTAATTGGTGAGTGGCAAGGCACAATTAAGTTAGGCTATGAAGCTTCCCCTTCCACCCACTAAAACCCAGTGCTAGTGCATGCAGGATTGTTACCATGCCAACAAATTCTTCACTTTCTCTAGCACCTATCTCCCCTTTTAAACACCCATATTTTTTAAAATTAAAAATTACCTGCTTCCCAATCTCTCTAGCACCAGATTGCTCCAAAAACCTAACTAAACCTCAACTCTCCTAGTTTCTCTTCGTCAATCAGAATCACTCTTAGCAGCATCCCATGATCCTCATTCACCTCTACCCATCACATACTTACCAAACCAATGCATTTAAAAATAATACACTTACCATTACTATATTCATACTATATTTAAACATAACCAGGCATCATAGAAGCAACCACTGAATTTCAAATTCACACTTGTATTTTTAACAGACTTTAACACAGTTATGTTATTCTTAAAACATACATACCCCCAAATTATTTTGT